GGGGGGGGGCAGGGGGTTGGGGGGAAAAATTAAAAAAAAAACCCAAAACCTCAGAGAGGCATTGTTTAAAAATTCACATTTTTCTTTCTCTGTGAATGCTGAAATCCATGATGATTTCATCTGTGCTGTTCCTTGGAGAGCAAAAGAAGCCAGAAGCCATCAAGGGGCCAGTCTCTGAACACACTGGTCCAGGATGGGGGTGGGGGGGGCAGGCCGAACAAACTAGCACATGACAGAGAAAATCATTTGCCGATATATTTTAGAGATTCTTTCCCCATAGGACCAGTTATTCAAGTCAGCGGAGCCCACTATTTGTATAAAATAATGTGGGAAAGGCCAAATGAGTTTTGCATTTTATCTGTGAAGCCAGGGCCGGTGGTGGGTGAGTGTGTGTGTGTGCAGGGCAGAGGGGGGCGGCGGCTCAGGAGAGGGGACAGAGCCACGCAGGATACAGGCATGTACAAGGCTGCCTACCCGCCTGTGGATCTTGCAATGCCCGGCTGCATTTTGCAGTTGGGAAAAGTCGAGTGTATTATATGACCCCAAACAAAAGTTCTGTTGCGCTCGCCCTCTGACCGCCTGCCAGCGGTGACGGCCCGGAACATTTAAATATGAATGAATGGGGGAGAAGGATGGTCGTCTGGATTCCCTTGGGCTGGAACCCTCCGCTATTCCCAGTGGCCCGGTGGCCCCTTTTCACGACCTCCACTACCTGTCTGACCCCCTCCGGGGACCCCAAGCCCCACCTTACGGGCCGGTGGGCGTCTGGGCACCGGAGGGGACGGCCAGATAGGATGGAGGGGCGCAGGGGGGCAGACTGCATGCGTTTAGTCCTCCCTGTTGATTGAGACAGAGTGTTTCTTGGGGGTTTTCATTCCCCTCCAAAAGAGGAAGAAGGTGTAGCAAGGGGACTGGGCAGAGAAAGAAAGGGGGAAAAAAAGAAGAAGAAGAAGAAGAAGAAGAAGAAGAAATAGAACAAAATGAGAAGAATTTCTTTCGGAAGGGAAAGTGGAACTCCGGAGAGCGGTGATACTGGGAGAGAGGTGTGTGCGAGGGAGCAGGCAGTGAGCGGTAGGCAAGCTGCCTGTCAGCAAACGAGCTGAGCGGTCCCTCCCCTTCCTAATCACAGCCTTTACTCACAGACAAACTCCCTCCCTCTCTCATTCACTCACTCACTTAGGGCCAATCGCTCTCTCTCTCTCTCTCTCTTTCTCTCTCTCTCTCTCTCTCTCCCTCTCTCCCTCCCTCCCTCCCTCTCTCCCTCTCCCTGTCTCTCTTTCCCTCCCATCCTCTCTCTGTCTCTGTCTCCCCCACCCTGTCTTTCCCTCCCTCCCCCCTCCCTCCCTCCCTCTCTCCCTCCCTCCCTCCCTCCTTCTCTCTTACTCGGAGGCAGTCAGAACTCTCCTCCCTGACAGCCACAAACCTACAGCCCCGACTGCATTCAGAGAGGGAACCTGCAAGCCAAACTTCACAGAAAACTTTTTCTTCTTGTTCCAGAGCATTTGCTGAAGAGGAGAAGGGGGGGAAAAAGCAACAAAAGCAACAACAACAACAACAACAACAACAAAAAAAAAAAGGAGAGAGAGAAAGGAAAAAAAAAACAACCCTGTGCGTGCGGGGGGGCAGGAAAACCAGGGCCTTTTCAAAGGACAATCACAACAACTTTCGCTGCCAACATGCCCCTGCTTTGGCTGAGAGGAGTTTTGTTGGCGACTTGCTGGATTATAGTGAGGAGTTCTCCCACCCCAGGATCTGAGGGGCACGGGGCCGCCCCTGACTGCCCGTCCTGTGCGCTGGCCACCCTCCCAAAGGATGTACCCAACCCTCAGCCGGAGATGGTGGAGGCCGTCAAGAAGCACATTTTGAACATGCTGCACTTGAAGAAGAGACCCGAAGTCACGCAGCCGGTACCCAAGGCGGCGCTTCTCAATGCCATCAGGAAGCTTCATGTGGGCAAAGTAGGGGAGAACGGGTACGTGGAGATAGAGGATGACATCGGAAGGAGGGCAGAAATGAATGAACTCATGGAGCAGACCTCGGAGATCATCACGTTCGCGGAATCAGGTGGGTCCCGGCGCTGGGGGTGGCGGGTCGGAGGTGGGGGGCGGCTCGTTTCTTTTGACAGTTCTCGGAGGAACTTCTCTCCCTCTAGCTGTCCCCTGCCTGGCAAGGTCATGAGTTACTAGGGGACCGGGGCGGAGGGACCGAGGGGAGGCCGGGGGACGACGGGGAGACGACCTCACAGAGCTGGCATCCCAGGCTGAGCCCCGGCGGGAGATGGCTAGCTTACACTTGCTAAACTCAGCCCCGCGCCCCGGAGGGAGCTCTCGGGCCGATCTGGAGTGGCATGCAGGTCAGAGAGAGGCTCCCTCGCCCTGCCTGGGAAACCAGATCAGAGCAGCCGGAGGAAAGCCAAAAGCTGGGGCATTTCGGGGAGCTGAGGGAACCCTGAGGCTTCCGGACCCCATCCAAAGTTTGTACTGGGGGTCTGGGGGTGGCGAGCGCGGGATGGAGGTGGAATGGCACAGATGAAGTCATTGTCTTAAAAACAAAAAGCGACCCTTTTTTCTTTAAAAGTCCAATCAGGGGCCACCTCCGAGAAGCAGGGCGTGTAGATTAGTGACAGTCATTTTCACCTTTAGAAACTGCCTCTGAGAACACAGGCATCACATTCTAGGCAGGGAAGAGCGACATTGGGGCGGGGGGCGGGGGACAGATGACATTGAACCAGCAGACACTTTTGGAACACTGACTTTTGCTCTCTGAACTGAAAAAAAAAAAGAGTTTTGTTCTCTGTAAAGTTACTAAGAGCTCTCTGCCAAGGAATGCAACCTTGACAAAGTGCTCTCAGATACTGCACTGAGCCCTCAATCAGTCCTTAAGGGGAAGAACTTTAATAAATAGATTCTAATCGTTGGCTCAGGACCACGCTAACCTGTTGGTGAAGAGAAAATTACCTGTCAAAAGTGCAGGCTGGAGACCCAGGGCCCGGGGGATTTTTTTTACAGTTATGTGACCCAGATCCGTTTGCCTGTGGAGGAACCCCTGCACACCCAGGCACACAGATGTGTTAATACCGTGTCACTTTCATGGTAATGCCAGGCTAAAGAACTGTATCCCTTTGCCAAATCCATTTAGAAGGAATGCCATTGTTTTGTTTGCTAGAGCATATGGGCAGTAAAGTATGTGCCCAGACTCTCAGCATTGCTGGATGTAAAAGTTTGCCGCAAACACTTAAGGCAACACTCAGAATTTCCAATCCTGAAAACCTGTTGACTCAGATGGTCTGGTTTCCAGAAAACCATGCGAGACCTGGGCACCCTGTGAGGGGGAGCAGAGAGCCTGCTGGCTGGCTGGCTGGCTGGCTTCCCCTCGTGGGAGAAGTCCTGGGTGTCCAGCGAGCTTTCCTCCTCAGACAGGCCACTTAGCTGTCTCACCAGAAGTTTCCTTTCTTTTCGAGAAGATCTGACTTTCTTCCCCTAGAGCTCTTTTTTGGATGCAGCCCCGAAGGCCATGGTACTTTGGACTTTACCTTTTGAAGCTGATGGAGGGAAAAAGCAGGTTGGGGTTCTCAAGTTATCACCCGGTTTTTCCCAACCCTTCCTGGCGGCAAAGCTGGGGAGGAAGTTGCTCCATGACATTGGGTCCTGAGCACCGAATGGGCTCCACTGGCCTAAGGGCTGGTCCCGCCCTGCCTCAAAGGGACCCTGTATATGTTTTTATATCCCAGGGGCCACACAGAATGGCCTTGATTGCAGTTCACCCTCAGTTGGCTTCACCCGCATTGCATGACCAGGTAGACCTCTGCCTTTGGCCCTTTTTAACTCTACACCTGATGCTCGCAATACGCCCCGCGTTCTGACTTCCTCGACTCATCCAGCCAGTCACTCTCTCGGCATTGAGAGATTTTTGCAGTGAAACCGTTTGACTTTCTACATTCTTCCTTCCTTGTGGTCTTCATCTCAGCGCCAATCTTTTTCTCAGTTACATGAAATCTTGTCATTTTGGCGGGGGGTGGGGGGAGGGCGGCAGGCAACTCTTCTGGTAGGTGTTTAGTTTGAAAGAAATCGAGCTACTTTTTGAAAAGGCGGATTCATTTGACTCACAGGTTGACTGAAGTTTAAGGTCGGTAATGGAAACTCCTCCCAGTTGAGATGCACAACTTCACTTTGGGTGAGCTGCTGGAGTCTCAGAACAGGTTTATAATGTGTTCTTCTTTTTCTCGTTTGAGAAATTTCACTCCTCAACTTCAAGTTGATGTAGTACGATTTCACAGAAAAGCTTTGCAATGTGGACAGCCTGCTCCCCACGCAGGCTACTGTGTGAGAATTCTGCTGCTTTTTTGCTAACCCAGGAAAGAGATTTATCATTGGAATGATTGCAGTGGGTATACAAACACGTCTTGTTGCTTTTGGAATAATTCAACCTTAGTAATACTCGAACGACGTCAAACGTCAAGATTTTTGAGAGTAGCCAAAGGGATTCAGTTTTCTTTATAAACTTTTTTTTTTATTTTTGTTGGGGGGTAATTCATATTTATTTATTTGCTTATTTGAATGGAGGTACTGGGGATTGAACCCAGGACCTCGTGCATACTTAGCATGCGCTCTGTCACTGAGTTCTACCCTCCCCCTCCCTTCTCTTTTCTTTATAAGCCCCTCTGTACAGCATGGAATCTAGCCAGTAAGTGTCACCCGTGTGCAGGTCACAGATCCTCACCCATCGATGCACCTTTCAGCCTCAAGATTCCTCAGCTGGGGGTCATGTTTAATTGTCGCCTCTACCCTCCATGACAGTTGAATAAGGCCAAGATGTGGCCACTATAGTTGACGGACTCCAAAATTTCACGTGCCTAGAGCTCTTTGAACTGAGTCTGTCGCCCTGTGCTCAGGTGCAAAGTGGCTCATCTTGGTAGAGCTGATGCGACTTGCTGTTGACTCAGCAGAAAAGAACTGCCCTCGGGCTCTCTGTGATGTATTCCAACGAGCAAAAAATGACTTTCTTTTATGTCTGTCTCCCAAGATAGCTCACCGAGGTTATGGCACTCTGCAAGGCTGGCAAAGGAATCCTCTGTTGTTTACTTTAACACCTTAGAGGAAAGAAGGGGTGGGTGGAGCCAAGCCAGCTCTCACTGTAACTGTCATCGAGGCTAAAATCAGTGGTCGCCTTGACTCTATATTTTATTTTACCTTATTTTGACTGATGACGATAGCTGGTCACTCAAAGTATCCTAACAACGTATGGTGGAGTCTCCAGATGCTGCCAAATTTATATGCTGATTCTGGTGATTAAGTTAGCAATGGATAGCACTCCTTGAAGAAAGGATAGGGTAAGAATTAAGCACCAAGGAAGAGAAGAGGCTCACGTGGCCCAGGTGTCCGTTGAAAGCAACACGTAATCTCCCCACTTGGAGGATTCTAGTTACAGACGACTTGGATTAGAAATATACACAAACGTCCCCAAACAAGGGTCTAAGAAGCCTTGTTGAGATGACTGCCGTCTCACGGTGGAGTTGACTCCCACCACTCCCACGCCAACCTTCTGAACTTTTCTGGGAGTTCAGCCTCGCAGAAGGGTGTCCTGAGGGAGTTACACACTTTCTTCTCTGAATAGTGGGAAACGATCGGCCACAAGAGGGCGCATTCCAAAGACTTTTGCTCCTTCACCAGATAATCTAGGGAAATGTAATTTCACCTACTGGAAGCCCCAGCCTGTATAGCGCCCTAATCTCGGTGATTATCGATGCCCACCCCAACTTCCTCTCATCCTCCAGGGAAAGTTAGGGTTTTATGGGATGGGAGGGACGTGACTACTTGTAACATGTTAAATGAGACAGAAGGAGAGGAGGTGGGAATTCTAGTGATACATGTGAACATTCCGGAGCTCTATGGAGGACCCAGGAGTGATCCATTTCAGAAGCAAACAAAGCCGAGCGTGGAGAAATGTGACCATGAATCATCAGCAACACTGATTTGCTCGCACATCTCTCCCTAATGCGGCTGCCTGGGCTTTTACCAAAAAAATGTCTTCCGTCTCCCCTGATGTGGTTCCTAGTTTCTGCCTGTCTTATCAACCGTTTTTTCACCAGCGACAAATGACAAGTGACTTCGGACCGGGAGGAGAAAGTCTTATTAATTTAACGCCTTGGGGGAACGGAGTGTTCGGCTTTGGAGGACGCGTTTGTTTTTGAACTGAGTGTGCAGAGAGATGGTGGAGGAAAGATGTGAAAAGAGGTGGGTTTAGAGGTTTGGGCCTGTGAAGGAGGTGCGCTGGCATGGGGGTAGGGAAGTGTCAGGGTCGAAATTCAGTTTTCATATTTGGAGAACGGGGAACCATACCTTCCCAGGCATTTTTCGTGGAAACACGTATTTGTCTTGGCCCGTCTTCTGCTAAAATATACTCAGACACGATCTCTTAGCTTCAGACTCGACTGGTTCCTAGATCCAAACTCCGAAGTGTAAAAGTTCTCAGGGACTTTGGAAGAAGTCTCTGAAATTTCAGTCTGTGGGTTGAGCCTGAAGTTTGTTTTTTGTTTTTTGTTTTTTTTTTTTACTTCTTTTAGGAACCGAAAATCCCTTTCTCTCTGAACATTTAATCTTTTTATCGCCGTTTAAATGAAAGATGCCAGAATGTGGCTGAGCATTTACAAGTCAATAGCAGATCCAAAGAAAAGATATTAAGGCTAAAAAAAAAAAAATCAGTCACCATAATTTACGACCAAACTTGTAGATCTTCTGCGGGCAAAACCCTCTGCTGTAGGTGAAAGGGGGCATAACTTTTAAGATCTTACTTGCTGCTTTCTGCAGAAACCCCTGGAAACAGTCCAAATGCGAAGTTAGTGCTGCAGGGAACACACAGGCTGTAAATAGTAGCTCTGTATTTTCCCATCAGAGACTACACCATGCCCAGGCACAGGGGAACCTTGGTGAAGAATGGGAAATGAAAGGAATAGGTACATTTTACAGGGAGGCTCCCCCCTCCTTCCCATGGTGTGTTTAAATCCTCCAGAAACTACAAGGCTCTTCCCATTAACAGTAGGAACTTAATTATTACCCAGGAGGAGAAGGGCAGCATATTTTAAGCAGGACCCTGGGGAGGAAAACAAATCCTATCAAAAATGAAACACACGCGTGTTAGCATTGCTTATTTCATTGGAGTTGTTCCTGTGCCCACAGACCTGAGATGCTGGAGGAAGGGGAGGGGGAGGGAGGAGCATTTGGTAGCCTGGTGTGGGGGAGGGGAACCACCAGGGACTTGGCCGCTTAACCCTTGGCATGCCTGCCTCCTCCATGAGTGGGTGATCAAAAACATTTGAAAAATTCTGCAAGCATGAAAACAGAGGAAAATGTGCTTTCAGGTGTCTTCCCTTCCAGCTTCCAAAGACTCCCGCCCAGCAACATTTCAGAGATGTTCCCTCTAAGGTGCAGTGAGCATCCCTGCTCCCCATTTGTATGCACTTTTCCCTCTCCCTTTGGTATGTGTCCACCGAGCTCAGAGAGGTTTAAGTGCTGAAATATTATCACCCACATGGGTTTGCGTGGGACTTTCTTAGTGAATTACTCAGGCAGAGCAGGCTGTGATACAAGCCTTGCTCACAAGCCTCGGGAGGGAAAAAATAGCACAGAGGATGAAAAGAATATTATCAGAGAGTAGGTAATGAAAGGTTAGCAAAGCCACCAGCTATATCTAGTGAGGTGGGTAGCAGTGGAGGAACCCAGTGCACACCTGTATAAAGCTCCTGCTGTCCCTGCTCTCAAAGCACCATGGGAAGGCTTCATGCCAGGGTTTTATAGCAGGAGGTGTTTAAGCCAAACCTGAAACTGACTAGTAATTGATCCTAAACACCCCAGCCTTAGGCAACCTCCTTCCATTTCTCCAGTTGCTGTGCGTAGAGGTGTGAGGACTGGAGCATCCTGGAAGCAATCCCTGCAGTAGAGCAGCCTGTCTCAGGTGAAACACAGATCAAGCGAATATAACCCAGAGACTACTTATATTTTTCATGCCCAAGGAGTGTAAGGGTTGTAGTCTCTTTCTGAAACCTACAGCCCTGCTAAATATGAATTCCATCTCAGCGTCTAAGCTGTCTCCTTCTCCCCACCCCCTTCTGCCATGAAAGCTAGATGTAAAAGGAAAGAAAAAGGCACTGCTTGATAAGTCAAAATGCAATAGAACTTTGAAAATGTACCTGCATACGAGGTAGACTTTAGGAAGCCTGGAATCTCTCTGTCTTCCCCCTGTTTTCCTGAGCATTATGGCAACAGCTTTTTCATGAAATTGGATCGCGTTTGGTTTTTTTTTTTCCTGATAAAATATCGTGCAATATACAAATAGCAGTTCCAGAAATGGACACCAGGAGAAGGAGGCGACAGGCATGTCAATTAGTAGGGGGAAATTCCAAATGTCAGAAATACGGGGGAGAGCCCCAGCACGCAGGCAATGGATGCAAATACAGGGAACGGAGTGTTTCTGCTCAGATCATTAAACCGATGCATATATCAGCGCTGTGCCTCTCCCCAGTACGCAGGCGATGCCGTGCAGTTAATTACCAGCCAGGACCAGGATGAAAGTCATTTTATGATGACTCTCTGATCCGAATATAACAGCACCTGACAGATTGAGCCCCCTCTAATGAGAACTGTCTTTGTACAATCCTCTCTCAGGAACACTAAATCATTCGCTTCCAAGTACAGCGGCCTGTGAAGAAGGGGTGGGGCTAGATCGCACATTGGAAACCAGCTCTTGTGAAATGTGGGGCTGCCCTGTAGGCTGTCCCGGAAGCAGGGGGCCTTGGCCTTGGCCTCACTGACCCTTCAGAGGCAGTTTTCCTGTGCTCTCACTTGTATGAGTCGGCCGGTTAGCATCTCACCACCTCCTCCCAGCATCTGTAGACTTTTCTGGACTTTATTCAAGGGAAGTCCAATGTGTGCAGGCCCACAGGGCCACCTGGACCCTCTCTTGATCCGGGGTGGGGGGGACCATCTCTCTTCACCTGCAGCCCCCGCTGTCAAGCATGGGTACAAGCAGACAAGAGCCTGTGGATTCAGTTCCCTGAAACCCAGAGGGCTCTCCCAGCCTGGGGGCGAGCCGGACTCTCTCGTTTCACACTCTTTCCTAGAAAAACAAAACAAAACCTCGTGCCCTCTGGCTTCTCTAATTTAGCAGCTACTATCTCTCTGTCTTCACAGGGGCACCCTGTGTGGTTTAGGGTTTCAGACGCTGGCCTGCTCAGAGGCAGAAGGGGGAACAGCAGGCAGCTTGCTAACATTCTCCGCAGGGCAGGGCGGACGTGGGGGCCGTTAGCTCCTCCAGGCCGGTTAGCAGAGGCTGGGGCAGCTCCCGGCAGCCTTTTCCTCTGGTCTTGGGAGGACCCTACGACCTGAAATCTACTGCCAGTTGTCTGTTTAGACTTCAGTGGTTAAGCTCTCCTTCCTGGACCCTTCTCTTCTGTTTTCTTAAAAGACAAACAGTCAAAAACACCGCCCTCCCCCTGCCACCAATTTTCAGCAACGGAGAATACTAGATTCACGTTTTGAAAAAAAGTCATCATGCTTCCTAAAATAAGACAGTTTCCCCCTCTAACTGCTCTCCGCTCTGGTGAGCTAATCACAAACCCAGCTTTATGATTCATTGCGGCTCCTGCCAGAGATGCAAGGTCGGGTCACAGGAACTCCCCGCACTACGACCACCGCCAGCAGGGCCAGCATCCTCCCAAGATTAGACCGAGATGCCCCAGAACGTTTCCCATACAGACGCAGCCCATCTCGGCCCTGGGCTCAGTGAATTTACCACTATCACAATCACAGTGTGCAGAGCGTGTTAAATTAAGAACAGAATCTACAGCTCGCCGAGAAAAGCCTGCTTTCTGCTGCAGAGAACTTGAAACTGTGCCTAAAATTTATAGTACTGTAAACTTCTCGGGGCTGAGAGTGATAAGTAGGGCTGGATTTCCGTTAGCTATAGAACTCCAGGCAGGGAGACACCCCCCCCCCCAACCAGGGAATTGCAAGTTTTAAGATGAACTCTCAGATTGTTCTCGGATTTGTCCTCAGCATGCATGTGGTCAGGCAGTCGGAACCAGGTACACGCAGGTGGCGGGCGTGAAAAGAGGACCAAGTCGTAGAAGTGGAAATGAGGGGCAATATTTAATCAAGCAACCAATTGCAGTCTGGGTACCTGCTCCTTCCAGTAAATGTTGTTGCATGAAAACAGGTGCTTGTGGAAAGAGACGGAAATGGATGACTTTCTAATTTTAGAGTCAGGCAAGAACTGAGTGGCCCCTGAATCCCACTGCCCCGCCGATGTTGGGATTTCCGCTTTGCTGTATTTGGGCTCATTAAGCTGCATTCAAAAGGGAAGGAGACAAAAATGGGGGCTGCAGAGGGAGGAGATGGCTCTCTTAATGGAACATAACTCCATGCAAGGATGCCTTCATTTGTTGAGACGGGAGCAAGTAATTGTCTGCTTTCTGATAAATCCTGGGCTATGACAGTGAATGAGTAGACAGGAGCTCAAACCTGCTGATGTGTGGCTGGACCACGAAGACGGGGCAGTGGGGGATAGCCGGAGTCCAGGCAGAGTGCAGAGCTCTGGGCAGTTTCTGTTTTATAATGAGGGTGATGGGGACTCAGTCAAGGACTAGAAGGGGAGGAATCAGTGACAGGAACAGATCCGCCTTTGGGAAAGAGCCCTTTACCTGACCTGGCTGTTTGCACAGAAAAGAAATGTGTCTTTGTGTGGGGGTAATAGTGTTCCCACAGCCTGAGACAGCTTACAGTGTGTTTTCATCTCTGTTATCCCATTGGCTCCTTCCGAACCTATGGGATAGTGGGGTCCATGCCTTTATGTCATTCTCATTCTGTAGAAGATGAAACTGAGATTCAACAGTCAGATAGTCAACAGACACACTCAGATCTGGACGCTCTGCTTTCTAGAGCCAGAGTGGACAAACTTTCTCTGGAAAGGGCCAGAGAGTAAAGAACTTAAGGTTTGTGGGCCAGACGGACTCCGTCGCAGCTAGTCAACTCCAAGTTCTAGTCCAAAAGCAGCCACAGGCAACCTGCAAAGAAGTGCGCCTAGCTGTGGTCCACTTAAACTTTCTGGGCGCGGAAGTTTAAATTTCCTAGAATGTTCACATGTCACAGTATACTGTTTTTCATCAGCCATGGCAAATTGTCAAAAGCGTTCTTAGGATCCGTGGGCCTTCGCTTACACGGCCGGGCTGGAGATGGTCTGTAACAGAGGCTGAAACTGGGGAATGGTCCGGAACGCCGGAAACTAACAGTGTCCCTGCTCTGTCTTGTGTGCTGTGTTTCGTCCTCAGGCACAGCCAGGAAGACGCTGCACTTTGAGATTTCCAAAGAAGGCAGTGACCTGTCCGTGGTGGAGCGTGCGGAGATGTGGCTCTTCCTGAAAGTCCCCAAGGCCAACAGGACCAGGACCAAAGTCACCATCCGTCTCTTTCAACAGCAGAAGCACCCGCAGGGCAGCTCGGACGCGGGGGAGGAGGCCGAGGAAGTGGGCTTCGCGGGGGAGAGGAGCGAAGCGTTGATGTCGGAGAAGGCGGTGGATGCGCGCAAGAGCACGTGGCACATCTTCCCCGTCTCCAGCAGCATCCAGCGGTTGCTGGACCAGGGCCGGAGCTCCCTGGACATTCGGATTGCCTGCGAGCAATGCCACGAGACGGGCGCCAGCCTGGTGCTCCTGGGCAAGAAGAAGAAGAAAGACGAGGAGGGGGAGGGGAGGAGGCGGGACGGAGAAGGCGGGGACGAGGAGAAGGAGCAGTCCCACAGACCTTTCCTCATGCTGCAGGCCCGCCAGTCTGAAGACCACCCTCACCGGCGCCGGCGGCGGGGCCTGGAGTGTGACGGCAAGGTCAACATCTGCTGTAAGAAACAGTTCTTTGTCAGTTTCAAGGACATCGGCTGGAATGACTGGATCATCGCGCCCTCCGGCTACCACGCCAACTACTGCGAGGGGGAGTGCCCCAGCCACATAGCGGGCACGTCGGGGTCCTCGCTCTCCTTCCACTCGACCGTCATCAACCACTACCGCATGCGCGGTCACAGCCCCTTCGCCAACCTCAAGTCGTGCTGTGTGCCCACCAAGCTGAGACCCATGTCCATGCTGTACTATGACGATGGGCAGAACATTATCAAGAAGGACATCCAGAACATGATAGTGGAGGAGTGCGGGTGCTCGTAGGGCGCCCCGCCCCGGGGCTGGGGTGGGGGTGGGGGTGGGGGGGGGACGGGAGCAAGACGGTCCGGAGCAGACAGTGGCAACGCCAAGACGTGTTTAAGGTTTCTGACTTAAACAACCAGAAAAATAGAAATTTAAAAAAACAAAAAAACAAAAAACAGAAAACAAAAAAAACCTAAAAGCAAAACCTGAAACAGATGAAGGATGATGCGGAAAAATTCCTTAGCCAGGGCTCAGAGATGAAGCAGTGAAGGAGATGGGAATTGGGGTGTGTGGGGAGGGGGAGGTGCGGAGGGAGAATGGGGTACCCTTCACTCGTTCCTCCAGCATCCAAGTGGTGACCACAGTTGCTCGAACGGGAATATTAGGGAACACTGTCCTCTCCTTTTCAGTTCCCTTTCAGTGTGAGCCTTGAAGTCAGCTGGTCGAGTCTGCAGTCATGTGGGCTGGCACAACCCAAGTAGCATCTAGAAAGCCATGAGTTTGAAAGGGCCAGTTATAGGCACTTTCCCACCCAGTAACCCAGGTCATAAAGTATGTCTGTGTGACCCTCTCTCTGTGTACATCAACCCATGCGCACACATGAAGACACACACACACACACTACACACACACACACGTGGACGCACACAGACATACACACCACCCAGCCACACATACACACACAAGGACACGCACCAGATACACACACAGAGGCATTTCCACAGACACACACACGTGCACACACATTCTGGTAAAAGAACTCTAGTGTGCAGGTGGTCACACCTTCTTTCTGCACCATTTCTGCAACAAAACAAAACCAACATTAAAAAAAAAAATTGAGAACAAGAATGGGAAGATTGAAAGATCAAGGGAAAAAGAATCCCCAGTTACATTTCGTTAAGGTGCTTATGATCTTAGAACTATGCAACCTAATAGGTTTGAAACTGTTTACCTGAGAGAGAAAAAAAGAGACACTTTTTTTGTATTGGAAGTAACCTGAATTAATTTTTATTTTCTTCAAGGAGAGATACTTGAAAGGAATATGTTTGTCCATCTGTTGGATCCAAACATTTCTATATTTTGTAAATGTTGTTTTTTTTTTTTATCGTTTACTATTTGCACTACAATGGTGTTTGACCTGTCTAATCCTTATTTAACTAGTATTTTCTTTGGGTGGGGGGTGGGAGGGGGGTTAAGAGCTGCACTTAATGTGAGCTATAAAAAAAAAACTGCTACAGCACACAAAATAGCTATTTTTATTATTATAATTATAATTATTATTATTATTTTGTACCTTAAAAAAAATAGACACATACACCAAAGACATTTGTGTGAGCCTTTAAACAGTCTGTCTGTGATTGGTTATCATTCACCATCAGTGAGTCAGGGGTTGGGATTCAAGGTTGCGGAGGGTAGATTGGGTTCAGGCTTAAAAGACCTGAGAGGTTTGGTTTGTGACTCCTTTTACGTTCATGAAACAGGACATTTCATACTGGATGGACAGTCGTACACTGTTGGGTATCAAGTTCAACGGGATTCATGGGGCGCTCCATGCTTGTATGTGTATATATACAGTGCTTTGTACACATGCATGTCTGTGTGTATGTATACGTGTGTCGCATCGTGTCCATACACAGTTTAAGCACTTCAGACTGTCATTTTTTTAATGTTCTTAAAAGCAATGAATGTTTGTGTGCAAAAACACAGTATTTTTAAGAAGGATAGGCTCTAGTTTTCGCTTTTACTCTGAACTAGGTGGGCACATTTCAGAAATTTGGATGGGAAAAAAGCCTGGATTTTCCAGTGACTGTTCAGCAAGACCCTCTTTCGTTGTACAGGGATCGAATTCCCTCCTCTTTTTTGTCCTTCATCCCCATCCTACAAGTTACTCCCTGCAGGGAAAACAAAACAGGAAACTCATGTTCATCATGGCTCTAGGCTGATTTTATTTTATTTTTTTTTTATTGGATGATGTATTTATTATCTATTGGAATCAATCTTAAATGAGAAGCTTTTTCAGAAAAAAGAAATGGAATCTTTAGGCCAGAATAAAAGAGATGGGTGCATTTTTAAAATTTGTTTCTTTTTATGATTAAGGTTTGGTTGTGAGAAATATTACCTGCACGGCTGGGCTAAGTCATGTTGTTGTCACTAGTTAAAAGATAAATAATTTGGGAGAAGGTGTTAAGAGGCGGGGTAAGGAAGAAAACAGGAAACTGGGATAGGGCAGGAGTAAAAATCCCTAATATTTTAATTTGCCGCCAAAACTCTTGATTTGTAAGTTGGTTATGTATTGATTCAGTTGCAAAAAGGAAAAAAAAAATAACTTTGTTTTATAAATATCAAAGTACGTGCTTAAAGCTAAATTTTTACTAACTTATTCTACAGTATTTAGCTTGGCTAGAACAGGTAATAAGTTACCCATTATGGCTTTTTAAAACACAGAGCCCTATTTGTTTGAAGTTTGCCAAAGTTGGAAAAAAAAAATTGTCCAGTGGGGAAAACTTACATTCATCAGTATTTTGTAAAATATTGAAGCTTTTAGCCCTTTGACAGTCAGTTCATAGATTTTTTTTAAATTAATAGTAGAAAGATAAATATCAATGAGAAATCAAATATTACAAATGGTGGTTTAGTTCTTGAGAAATAGATCGAATCATGATGCTCTAGTGCTATGCTGTCTGCAGGCAGATCACTTTAATGTCTTTACCTGGCCGATACTGAATACATGCTGGAGGTCCACCCTTTGTTATTGCGGGAAATCCCACCCTGATGCATGAGAGAGAATTCTCATTAAGTGTGAGAGGGAGAGCAAGCGTCATTGGTACTTAACTTCCTAGCTCTTAACCAGTGACCAGGAAGTCACGCAGCGGGGAAAGGTGGACATGGCCAGGAAAGTTTTAAGGAGAGGAGACGATGGTGAGGTTCAAACTTTGCCAATGTTCATGAAAAACTTTGAGGACCTCTTGAACTGCCTCTCATTTGGCGCCGGAACTAACAGAACTTAATGAAAATAGCATGGGAAACCAAGTCCTGGTTGACAGTGTGGTAGCAGAGATGGCCAAGGCAGTGGACACAGTGAGAGGAGGCTGAAAAAACAGCTGACCCTCCGTATGTGGCTCTCATTCATCTCAAAGGTGTCTGCCATCCACGACGGCCTTTAAATCCTTGACGTATTGAGGGTAAGATGGGGTCTGATGAGTGGCCATGGTAATGAGAAGCAGAGCTAAATGAAATTCCACATGACAGTATTTTAATGGGATGATTTCATTTAACTTACACATCCCCACACTTGAACCAAAATATGTCATTAAATGTATACGGCTTTGAAATAGAATTATTAACTGCTACTATCTTTAATAATCTTGGAGGTTACACTGCCTTGTGAAAAGCCACACTTTTCATGGAGTAGCGTGAGGTCAAAAGAAACAGCTTTTAAAGTCTATCCACTTTGGGTCTTCATTGTCTGTGTTCCTCAGATAAGTGTGGCTCCATCTGACCTTTGCATCTCTCTTTCTGTAGGGCTAATCTCTAGGCTGTTAAAAATCTTCCCACACTAATCTTCAAAGCTCTGAAAAGCATGAGTCCCCAAATATTTTTTAAGAATAATAACTCTTTCATAGATTGGATTGACATTTCTTTTCTGTTTCTTTTTTTTTTTCCAAAAAGTAAGATGAATGCTGAGTTGGGATTTTCGTGTCCCTGAAGACCAACCCATTTCATGTTTATTTAAGATTGATTCCACACTCCGATTTTAAGGAGAGTGCCCGCATTCTCCTCTTACAGCAAGTGAATTTCTTTTTTCACCCTAGCGGGATTGGACCTCAAGGTGACTCTAAAAAACAGAGAACGAAATGCTCCAGTTGTATTAAGCTTAGATTCAAATTATCATGTTCACTTGAAAAAATGATTTCCTGTGGGCCTTTTGGCAACTTCCCTTTTTAATATAGAGAAAAACTTAGTCACCCTGAAAACCTACACAATAAATGGAACTTGTGGATGTGGGCAGAAGGTTTGGGGGTGGACATCGTAAGTGTTTAAATTAAACCCTTTATCACTGAGAAGTTGTTGTATGGGTCAGAGAAAATGAATGCTTAGAAGCTGTTCACATCTTCAAGAGCAGAAGCAAGCCACGTGTCTCAGCTATATTATTATTTATTTTTTACGCGTTAAGTGAATCATTTCTTCTGTATTAATTTCCAGTTGGTTTTACCCTCTATTTAAATGCTTTGAGAAACAGTGCATTGACAATGGGTTGATATTTTTCTTTAAAAGAAAAATATAATTATGAAAGCCAAGATAATCTGAAGCCTGTTTTGTTTGAAAACTTTTTATGTTCTGTGGTTGATGTTGTTTGTTTGTTTGTTTGATTTTGATTTTGATTTTGATTTTTTTTTTTTGGCATCCTACATGCAGTTCTTTAACCAATGTCTGTTTGGCTAATGTAATTAAAGTTGTTAATTTATATGAGTGCATTTCAACTATGTCAATGGTTTCTTAATATTTATTGTGTAGAAGTACTGGTAATTTTTTTTATTTACAATATGTTGAAAGAGATAACAGTTTGATATGTTTTCATGTGTTTATAGCAGAAGTTATTTATTTCTATGGCATTCCAGCGGATATTTTGGTGTTTTTGAGGCATGCAGTCAAATATTTTGTACAGTTAGTGGACAGTATTCAGCAACGCCTGATAGCTTCTTTGGCCTTATGTTAAATAAAAAGACCTGTTTGGGATTTATTATTTTTATTTTTTTTGTCTTATTGGGTTTCCAAGATCCACCCCCCCAACACACACATATTGCTACGTCCTTTGCTGGGTGATAATTTCAATTCTACTGTAATTATCTGGAAGAGCATGAGAAACAGACTGAATGGGAGAGAGAGGGCAAAAGCTGGAATTAAGAGAGCTTGGAAAAAGAATACATATTGCTGTGGCAGAGGTTTTAAAAGGCTCAGATACTTGGACCAGCAATATTTACATTTTAATCGTTTTATTAATTGCCCGTTTGTCAATGGGAAAACTCTTGTAGTGGCAAGTAACATAGAAATAGAGACATTCCTTCCTTCCCTCCCTCCCACCTTCTTTCCTTCCCTCCATCCCACCTTCTTTCCTTCCCTCCATCCCTCTTCCTTCCTTCCTTCTCTTCAGCTCTTTCTTCCTCCTTTTCCTTTCTGGATAGAAAACTGAGATGGCATGGGACCATGAGGGCTTGAAAACTACATGCATAGGAAAGAAAAGTGTTGGGACAGACAGGACAAATTTGGAAGCGCACAAATATGGTCAGTAATGAATCGATAGTACTCCCTTTTCTTCTAGAGGTTTTTCTTTAGTATCTGCGCTCATCCCAGAGATTGTATGGAGAAACTAACGTCTGTAAATCCCCATGTCCCAGGCATCGTCTTATCTGCTGCTCCCATTTCATTGTCTTAACCAACGAGAACAGTAGATATGGGTAACTCTCCTTTTGCCGATGGATCTGAGCTATGGTTAAGTAACATTAATTAGAACTAGGATTCCAATCGAGGACTGTTTTCAAGTTGAAAGTTAATTTTTTTTCTTTGCTATTCCATGCTTCCATTTTTTGATTAGTTTCCTTATGTTCCAAAGGAAAGAAAAAAAAAATGGTGGTAGAGGTGGGGGGTTGGCGTGTTGAACACACTTCTAACTTTTTAACACAGATATTTTAAACCAGACAGTTTACTTATCTCCAAGTGAAATGTCAAGTTTATGTAAATTCATATTAAACCCTTCTTATCTGTTTCAGGTACGGAAGTTCCAATTTTTTTTTTAATTAGAAAGGAAAAATGATATCTGTTTTGCTTTATATTTATTGACTTGCCTTATTTTTCTAGGCTAATATTTTGCTAGGGGAAACCTTTTGTGCGGAGTATTTGACTTTATAGGCCCAGTGAATGTGTGTGTGTGTGTGTGTGCACAGAAGCAAATGCATTAGCTTTCATTCCCTACCAAGTTTAATAATGAGTGCATATAAGCAGCTAAATAAAAACCCCACTGAATTACAAAGGAGTAACATTATTATAAAATGTATATGGATGTTCTCATAGGTAAGAAAAAAATAACTGAAAAAAGTCAGTTATAGAAATATATGTAAGTACGTATATATGTATATATAATGTATAATATATGTATATATAATACATATTACACATCTAACATATGTGAGATAGATATACACACACACATATATATATGGGGCAGAGAGTGAGAGAGAGAGAAGGAATGTGTTATCATTTACAGGAAACATCTAAATCCATTTCACATAGAAGTTTGATCCTTTCTCAAAAAATGCTTGTCTGAGGAAGCGTCCAAACAAAAGGAAACAGAGCAATGTGGTAATTCCTTCCTGCGTCAAATCAAGTTTCAGCTCCCTTAGAAGAAATTTTGATGTTTCTGCATTGATCCAATGTTTTCTTCTCCTTGGTCCACGTAAAGGCAGGATTTGTAGAGATTCTCCATTACTCCTTTTCAGGGTTTCTTTCATTGTCTTGTCATGAGTGCCTACCATAAGAAAAAAACAAGGAAGGCAAATTATTTACCCCAGAGCAAAGAATCAGAGCTGTTTCAAGACTTTTTAGAAACAGACAATGGTTCCATTTGACCATATCCGATTTGAGAAGCGCCTGCCCTCCTGAGATTTCCACTGTGACTTCAGTTCACTAGGGGACACCAGAGAGGTCCTTTTCTTGCAGGAAACTTGGCAGATAAAATCTGCAAGTGGTTTTGGGAAATAGGAGGCCAACTGGTTGAATAAAAATGATGAAGAATCTTCTTTTTTAAAAACTGATCTCCGTTCAGGCAGAAGTCAGAGGAAGGGTTGAGAGAAGGTCCAATCACGGTCAGAAAAGAGCGTTGGAAAAGCTGCCCAGGGCAAGAGTTAATTTGCTGCTGTAACTCTTACTGTGATGGTGGTGGTAGGGTCTGCAGCACCGTCATGGGGGGGGACACGGTGGCCTAAGGCGAATGCGATAACGTGGCAACGAAGGTCCCAGGGAGGATGCCTTTCATGGATGAAGCTGGTCCAGCACAGTTTAGTACCGGTGCCCGAAACGCTTGGTAACTCACATGGGATAGAGCCAGTCACTATGGGGAAACTCTTCCATTGTGAAAGAAAGGAAGAGACAAACAGTGCTAATCTATGCCAGAGACGGCAGGCCCGAGGCAGGGGTATGACAAAGCATCGTGCCTCAAAGTGTTTATTGTGCTGGAACTTCCAAGGGCTTTGAAGACAATCATCAAACCCTTCTAAATGGAAGCAGGGTGGCTTCTCACCATTGATCTCCACAACAAATGTTTGTGTTCCATGGTCAGTTTTTTATTTTATTTTTTATAATTTTTTTTAATCCTTCAAAGGCTCTAAGTAAAATGGTTATTAAATAGGATATTTGACAAGATAAAACTAAATTTTCCATCTGAGTAATCATCTCCCAAACATGACCGAATTGCCAACTGGATGAAACGGCTTCAAATGGAATCTCAGTAATACATCTCGTAGCTTTTGTTATGCCCAGTGTTGTGTGGGTTCACAGTTCTGAAATCACCTAACCCTTATGTTCTCAAAATGAGGAATTTTCGCCAGTCTCCATAAAGTCAAGGACTGGCCCATGTTGCAAAGAAGTTGCTATTAGCGATGAAAAACATGGAGCAAGCAAATGTAGCCTTTTCCTTTCGGACTTGGGATAATAAGATGTGAATTACATTGAAAAGTCTAGCTAACTGGGTTGATTTAATCATCGGTGTAGCCACTACATGAAAGCAGTCTGGGCAGAGGATTCAAAAGAGTTTTTTCCAAGCTCAATGCTGCCTAGTAGTATGGCCCTGTGGCTCCTCGAAAGCAAATGCCAGATGGCCCCATAAATGTCCCAGCAAACCAAGTGTCAACAGGATATGGAAAATGAAGATAGTCATGCCTTCCTTTTCCTAAGAGAGCCTATTTTCACCCCAGAATCTGGGGCCACTCCAGGCATCGTGGGGTGACGGTGAACAGTTTTTAACTTTGAGCTTTAACCCCTTCGCAAGACAGGAGGTGTAATCTTAACCCATTTTATATCAAACAAGTACCCAGTTCTGGTTCTGCCTAGACCCATCCATCATTTGGAAGACTGACTTTCAAAGTAGTCACAATGAATATGAAGACGAATATATGTATGTTCATGTATGACTGAAGCACTGTGCTGTACACCAGAAATTGACACAACATTGTAAACTGACTAGACTTCAATACAAATATATATTAAAAAGTAAAATAAATACAGAACAAAGTAGTTAGGCCCAGAATTGGGAGAAAATGGATTAAGCACTGGAAGTAAATTCCAAGGAAAATAAATCATTGTTAAAAAAAAATCCACCTTTCAGATGATCAAACATAGGGCAGAAAGTTGATGAAATCCAGGGATGGTGACGGGGAGGTCAGGTGCGTCTTGTTAGCAAGTGCTGTGACTTAGGCTCACCAGGGAGTGACCCAATAAATGCACGTGCTGGCCTCTAGGAATCAGATCGCTTGCGGTTTCTTCCTGTTGTCTTACGGAAGGAGGGGTAGGTACTCAGGGAAAAGAAAGTTGGGGAAAGCTGTGCCCTCCACCTGTCAGACTTTGAGAACTTGGGTCTAGACCAGTGAAGAGAAGAGGATACAGGCAGTAGAAGAACCTTTACATCAGCGACTCTGTGTAGAGGGACCAAGTAACAAATTGTGATGCTCTGTGGGAAAAAGGACTATTTTTCCCCTGATTCTGCATTGAAAATAGCACCATGGGTACTGCCTGGAAAATGGGCCGACAGCTTTGGGGAGTGATGGGAGAGGGGACTTTGACCAGATGTTAGCATCTTCAAGGTGGCCTCTGGAAGTAGGAACATTGTGACAGATCCCCATCGGAGGTATGGAAGAACCTGACAGCATAGGAACTGAAGCTGACTGGGCACAGTTTATGGGCACATGTGAACCGCCTGAGGCTTCCGGGCATAACCGGATAATTTAGGGATGGGCTATGGACTTGCTAGGTTCCATCTTGGAGAAGATGGGGCAAGAGCTAGTGAAATTCAGCCTATTTTATTTAATGCCTCCATCTCTGCTTTTACAGATTTGTAAGGAGGGAGGAAACTCATTTTCCGTTAGCGTTTTATATATATGGTGACAGAAAGTTCTGGAAATATTTTCTGAACCCAAATCTCAGCGAGATTTTTGAGATAATAGATCAGGAATAGGACCTGGGAATTTTATGCAAGTTCTGTCAACATTCTGGAGCAGTGGCTTAGTACTTTCCACTTTAAAAATTATCCAACAAGTCAATACAGGGGAAGGGTTCGGTAAGGGTGAGGTTTTATTGATTTGTTTTTCGTTCTGTTTT